GGGGATCTCGTAGTCGAGCAGTCTCGACTAGAGCTTTCTTACTTGTTTTTTTTAATTTCGAATTTTGAATTTTTTATTTATTTTTGATTAGTCAGGTTTTAATCTTTTGATTTTTTTTTTTATTCTTGCAGATTTTTTATTTGAAATATTTATAAAGTTTAAAAGTCCAAAAATATAAAAAGCCAAAAATACACTTTTTAATAATAACCTTTTTTTTTTAATTTCGAATTTTGAATTTTTTATTTATTTTTTGAACAGTCAGGTTTTAATCTTTTGATTTTTTTGAATTTTTGCAGATTTTTGATTTGAAATATTTTTCTTTTTGATTTAAAAAAATTTGTTTCTTTGTTTATTTTTTTTTTTTAAGTCTTTTTTTTTTTTTTTTTTTTTTTTTTTTTTTTTGAATAGTCTTTTTTTTTTTTTTTTTTTTAATAGTTTTTTTTTTTTTTTTTGTTGAATAGTCAGGTCTGCTCGAGGCTGTGCCGTAGACTGACTGACCACATTTGTTTATTTACTTCTATACAGGACCGAAACTGTCACTGTTGTCAAGGCTACTGAGTATAAATGGAAATTTGAATCTTTAGGGAAAAAACCGCGTTTTTCAAGTATTCGTCAAATTTTTTCAGTATTTTAAAGATCTACTGACCTACTCGTGGCGGAGACAAATCCAACAAATCAAAAACCATGAAAATTGGTACAGCAGATCTCGAGTTATAAGTGCTAAGACACTTTTACACAACTCTCTTTTATATATATATATATATAGATTTGTACATATAAATAAGCTTAATAGATAGCCAAATAGCATGTTTGTCAAAATAACTAATATAAAGATCGCCGGCGCTTCTTCCTACAGCACCACCGCATCATTTCGAACAGCAGTAATCAAAACGAAATCACATTATTGTTACGATGCCTACAGCAAAGAAAAGCCAGTGTAGCGGCTGGAAATTCAAAAACAATGCAAAGACAAGTCAATCGCAACGAGATTCTTAGAATATGCTAGAGTACACATTTATATGTACATACATACACACATACAAATGAGCGCGTGAATAAGGCTGGAATGCTTGATGCTATGCGTGCAGACATATATATATATATTTACATATCTATATGTATTTGTGGGCTATTTAAGAAGAAAAACTTGTAAAACTTGTAAAATTATTCGACTGTCAAAAATAAAAGTATTAAGTGCCATTCATTCAAGCTCGCGCCTCGCAATAAAATATGTATATAATTTCTAAAAAAAGGAAATATGTATGTATGAAAAAAATATATCATCGAAGAGGTTTCGAACCTCCCCTAATCTAACATAATTTGGCGTCGCCCCTAGCACCCTGCGCCACTGCTTTGCTTGATTAGCCAGTTGCTAAAATAGAATAACTTAATAACAGAGCGTCATCTGAAAAAAATACAGTAACAGCTAGAAAATCCAGAAATCAATCGAAACTCTAAGAATGTGCGAAAAGGCGCGCTTCTGTCTGTACGCATAGAATACACGATGAGTGTGTGCACATGTTTATTAAAATCGCGCTGATCACATGTGCACACACTAATTCTTTATTCTATACGTACACAAAAAAGTGTGCCTCTATATTCTAAGAATTGCGATTGATTTCTGAATTACTGTAGTTTTGTCAGATGACGCTCAGTTATGAAGCTATACTACTATACTAGCTAAAAAAAAAAAGCGAACCATTGGCGTGGATGCTAAAGGCGACGCAAGACTTGTTTGAGTAGCGGAGGTTGAAATCATCTCCGATGTTAGGTTTTTTATACCCTGAACCCATTTAAACAGGTTATAATGGTTTTGTTGAAATGTATGTAACAGGCAGAAGAAGGCGTGGCAGACCCCATATATAATTTAGAACAATAGGTCTAAACTCTCTCTAGTCCGAATATGAACTGAACTAAATCTGTTCTACTGGTTAGGTTCTCCCCTTGAATGTCTGACTGGACTCTCCAGCCTCCTTAGATTGTCGAAAGTCTTAACTTATATTCTTGATCAGGGCGACGAGCTGAGTCGATTTAGCCCTGTCCGTCTGTCCGCATGCTTGAACGCGTCGATCTCAGAAGATATAAAAACTAAAGACTTAAAATTTTTTTTCTTAAGCTCATGGATATCACGAGCATATCGAGTATTGCTTCGAAAACCGATAACTTTTCCCGTTATCTTGTTATCAATTAAAGACATCGAAAACCAGAAATAAATTTATATCTGCTACATCTTTAGAGCTAAAGTCGTTATAGTAAAGGTGTTTTCAATCGGCGCGGGTCGATATTGGCGCCCCGTGGCAGCCATATTGTTTTGGTAACAGCTGTTTAATCTTTTGTTTATTATTTAGTTGTTTATAACAAATTATCATGCCAACTTACACGATTGAACAACAAGTTCAAATGATAAAACGTTGAGCGCATTTCGCCCATTTCACGGTAGACGTGGTGGCCCTTCAAAGTCGACTGTTCAACGTTTGGTGGCCAAATTTGAGACGATTGGCCTAGTAAGCAATCAGCCAACAACCGTACGTTCAAGAAACGCAAGATCAACCGAGAACATTTCCGCGGTCCGTGAAAGCTTACAGCGGAACCTGAGGCAGTCTATTCTTCGCCGTGCACAAGAACTTGGCCTTTCGCAGACTTCAACTAGGTGAATTTTGTGTCGGGACTTAGGCCTACAGGAGCTCAAAGTTCATGACCATAGACAACGCCGTTCCTTCGCTGACTGAGCCTCCAATCGTTTGGAAGAGAGCCCCAGCTGTGTTAACAAACAAAATTGCCAACACCAATCCACATAAGGCTCACCAAGTAATAATGCATCCTCAAAAAGTTACCTCTTGGTGTGGATTTTAAGCCGGCGGCGTTATTGTTCCGTACTTTTTTGAAAACGACGATGGTGAGACGGTCACCATCAACAGCGAGCGCTACACAACGATGATAATCAATTTCTTATGGCCCATATTGAATAATATGGACCTAGACGACATAAGGTTCTAGCAGGACGGCGCTCGTGCCACACAGCAAACGCCACGACTGATATTCTACATGAACGATTTGAAAGTAAGGATATCTCCCGCAGGGGTGATGTGAATCGGCCACTAAGGTCATGCAATTTGACTCCGCTAGACTTTTTTCTGTGGGGTTTCTTGAAGTCGCAGGTCTATGCAAATAAACCGCAATCGACCGATGCTCTAAAGAATATAACATAGGCCATCGCTCTAATTCTATGCGGATCTATGCGGAAGAGTCATAGAAAATTGGACCACTAGAATGCGCTCCACCGCAAAAGCCGAGGCGAGCATTTCAATGAGGTCATATTCCACTCTTAATGGCATATATACACCTTTAAAATGAACAAGTCAGAAGGCTCCAGTCGATACTGCTCGACTGGGAGTTACCCTGAACCCTCCAAGCTGATATTCTACTCATTCTGCACTTCTTTAATGCACACTTGCATCCACATCCACGTATATCACGCGCTCTGCTTACTGAGCAGTTAGCAGCGACAGCGCTTGGGCTGCGCTGCGGTATGAGCAATATTATGAGAATTTATTAGTTGAATAATTTCTCTTGCAGACGGACTATCTTTATGAAACTATTAGAGCGTATACTCTTCACACAGAAGGGAAGGCATGGGTTCTCGCTGCGAAGAAATTTCATTTTTCGTGAGCGCTACTTGTGCTCACATGCATGTACATAGTACATGCAGCATACTGTGTGTGTGTGCCTGCTCGTCGCGAAAACATTTTAATCATGCGCACCAACGCTTTCATACCCTTCCCACAAATAATAACGAAAACGTATGGCAAACGGTTTGAAAAGTTCGGTATACTCTTCACACAGAAGGGAAGGCATGGGCCAACGCTTCAACAGTCGACCATCTCGGTCGAGCGCATGAAGCGAAATGATTCTGCTTTCGTATTTTTTCGTAGCCCGAACCCAAAAAGTGAGGAGCCGAGCAAATACGAAGTGTCTGGGAGATAACTCCCGAAAAAAGTGTGAAAAACGTTTTACACTACTTGTCCGGTCTATGTGTTCTCTGGTTAGTGCTATTACATACTTTTCTCAAAACCATTATACCCTGATTTCTCATATTCAATGGGTTCAGGGTATAATAATAATTGTGTCAGTACCTCACACAGCTTGTTTTATTCCATTTCAACATCTACCTGCCCTTATTGAAAAACCCTTTACTTCGGTTATTGTCAAAATTTACCCTAGCTTTGATTTATGTATGTGTCTTTTACAATTGATACGCTTTTTCGGGTTTGCGCGCTTCTATGCAGATGCTACGGAGAAGGCGCCAACCGCTAAAAAAAAAAAAAAAAAAACAAGTAAGAAAGCTCTAGTCAGGGTTCCCCTGAACCCTTCGAGCAACTGATATTTCAATATTTATTCGCACATGCACACACACGCTTACTATGGGAAGTTAATTGTTTAATAACTTTTTTTTTGTGGATGGCCTATCTTCATGAAACTTTCAGCTTATGAATACAACATAGATATGTATGTATTTGCCAAAACACAAGTCCCTAGTATTTGAAATATGCCTTTTACAAGTGTGAGGGTGAGCGGGTGAATTAGGTGTGAGGGTAAATTTTGACAAAAACCGAAATTGTATAAAATGCGTATAAGTATACATATAAAATTTGGAGACTCTAGCCTTAAAGATGTAGGAGATATAAATGTATTACTGGTTTTCGATAATGTTTTTAATCGTTAACAAAATAACGAGGCAAGTTATCGATTATCGATATGCGCGTTGTACACACGGACCTAGGAAAAAATTTCAGGTCTCTAGCTCTTATATCTTCTGAGATCGACGCGTTCAAACATACGGACAGCGGACAGACGGGCAGACCTAAATCCACCCAGCTCGTCGCTCTGATCAAGAATATATATACTTCTGCCTGTTACATACTTTAACAAACCCATTATACCCTGATTTTCCATTTTCAATGGGTTCAGGGTATAAAATAGGTATAATAGATCTCTTTTACCTTATCATCATCAGCAATCGCAGATATCTCTTCCCATAAATTCTTCATTAATTTTTTATAGTCATCCAAACGGGCGGCACTGCAATCTCCTTTTCCTTCCACTACACACGCTCTAACTGCCATACATAGAAAATCATTCTGATCCAAAAATCCGTTGTTGTCAATATCTGAAAGAAATATATACATATATATATGTTGGTCAAGTCAAGAAATTAATTTTGTAATATGTAGTAAGATAGTTAATTCATGGCATAAGGCAAATTATAACTATATCCTTTTTATTTTGCCTTGATAACCTGATTATAACCTGAACCCATTGAAAATGGGAAAACAAGGTATAATGGTTTCGTTAAAAGTATGTAACAGGCAGAATGAGGCGTGGCAGACCCCACAAAGTATATATACTTGATCAGGGCGACGAGCTAAGTCGTCCGTCGATATGAGCGTAATATACACGGACCTAGGAAAAAATTTAAAGTCTCTTGAAACAAATAAAATAAGTAAAAGTGCACTAGTCGAAACTGTTCGACTAGGAGATACTTTGAACCCTGCAGAGAAGTACACACACACATGAATCCACACGCACGCATAATCACGCGCTCTTCTAATGGCGCAGTAAGCAGCGACTACGCTTGGGTTGCAGTGTGGGCAATAGCATGAGAATTTATTTGTTGAATAATTTAATTTCTAGACGTACAATCTTAATGAAACTTTCAGAACATAATCATAATGTTCATGTATGTACATTCCAAAGCACAAGCACTAACCAGAGAACACATAGACTAGACAACTAGTGGAAAGCTTTTTGCACGCTTTTTTTGAGGCTTTAGAACCCCTGACAGCTTTGGACTCGCTCGGCTCCTTACTTTTAGGCTCGAGCTACGAAAAATTACGAACGCACAATCATTTCGCTTCATGCGCTCGACCGAGATGGTCAACTTTTGAACAAAAGATCCCTCTATGCTCAATGTTCCCTTGCTCTCTCTCTCTCTCTCGATGCTCTCTGCTCTCTCGAATGTGTATATTTATGTATGCATGTGAGCACAAGCAGCAGCTCACGAAAATTGAAATTTCGTCGCAGCAAGAACCCATGCCTTCCCTTCTGTGTGAAGAGTATACCGAACTTTTCAAAGCGTTTGCCATGCGTTTTCGTTATTATTTGTGGGAAGGGTATGAAAGCGTTGGTGCGCATAATTAAATTTTTTCGCGACGAGCATGCACACACACACTGTCCCTTGCTACATGTACTATGTACTGCATGTGAGCACAAGTAGGGCTCACAAGAATTGAAATTTCTTCGCAGCAAGAACCCATGTCTTCCCTTCTGAGTGAAGTGTATTCCGAACTCTTCAAGCCGTTTGCCATGCGTTTGCGTTATTATTTGTGGGAAGAGTATGAAAGCGTTGGTGCGCATAATGAAAATGTTTTCGCGACGAGCATGCACACACACACTTACAGTATGCTACATGTACTATGAGCATTTGTATGCCTGTGTGCAAAGCCCTTGCTGGCTATAGCAATTTGAAATCCTAGCATTTGCATTTGGTCGATCTTGTGATGTGCTCACACTTACATAAATATGTTTGATTGTGTGTACGCAGGGGCCGCGATGCTCACAAATGATGGGGTTATCATTGTAGAAGCAGTTCAGTGCCTTTATATGTATGTGCGTGTGTGTATGTTTATAAGTATATGCATGCGACATGAGCATTGTGCGAACGATTTTGGGTTTGACCGGAAGAGGCGCGCTTATATTTAAGTAGATGATTTTATTTCAAAAGTTAAAGCCTCAAAAAAAGCGTGCAAAAAGCTTTCCACTAGCTGTCTATTCTATGTGTTCTCTGGTTAGTGGCACAAGTCTCTAGTATTTGAAATACGCTTTTTACAAAGGTGAGGGTGAGGGGGTGGAAGTAGGAGTGGGGGGCAAATTTAAACAAAAATCGAAATTGTATAAAATATATATATATAAGTCTACATTTAAAATTTGGAAGCTCTAGCTCTAAAGATGTAGGAGATATAATTAAATAACTAGCTTTCGATAAGGTTTTTAATCGATAATAAAATATCGGGAGTAGTTATCGATATAAAAATAAAAACTTGATATGCGCGTGATATACACGGACCTAAGAAAAAAAATTTCTCTTATATCTTCTGAGATCGACGCGTTCATACATACGGACGGACGGACGGACGGACAGACAGACGGACAGGGCCAAATCGACTTAGCTCGTCGCCCTGATCAAGAATATATATACTTTGTGGGGTCTGTCACGCCTCCTTCTGCCTGTTACATACTTTTAACAAAACCATTATACCCTGATTTCCCATTTTCAATGGCTAGAGACTTGAATTTTTTTGAATTTTTTCCTAGGTCCGTGTATATCACGCGCATATCAAATTTTTCTTTATATATCGATAACTAATCCCGATATTTTATTATCGATTAAAAACCTTATCGAAAGCTAGTTATTTAATTATATCTTCTACACCTTTGTAGCTAGAGCTTCCAAATTTTAAATGTAGACTTATATGTATTTTATATAATTTCGATTTTTGTTGTAATTTACCCCCCACCCCTATATCCACCCCCTCACCATCACCTTTGTAAAAGGCGTATTTCAAGTACTAGAGACAATCGCTTTGGAATGTACATACATTTTCACCATATAATTACGCCCTGAAACTTTCATAAAGATTGTACGTCTAGAAATTAAATTATTCAACAAATAAATTCTTATAATGTTACTACACTACAGCGCAGCCCAAGCGCAGTTAGCAGAGCGCATTCTAATACGTGTGTGTGTATGTATGTGTGTCGAAAAGAAGTGCAGACTGATTAGAATATCAGATTAGAGGGTTCAGGGTATCTCCTAGTCGAGCAGTCTCGACTAGAGTCTTCTTACTTGTTTTTTTATTAATTTTTGACTGAACGGAATTTAATGAAACTTTCAGCATATGATCTACATATTATATTGAATATTTGAGAAATTTAAAAAAAAAAAGAAAAATCATTCACAATTAGCTATAGTGGCATCTGATTTGAACTTGAATGTTTTTACTCAATAAAAACATAACGAGATGATTTATCGAATTTTAAAGGCAAACTCGACGTCCGCGCTGTATATACGGTCATTTTAAAAAAAAAATTGTCTCTAGCTCTTATATCTTCGGAAATCGACGCGTTCAAACATACGGACAGACGGACAGACAGACGGACAGGGCCAAATCGACTCAGCTCGTCGCCCTGATCAAGAATATATATACATTGTGGGGTCTGCCACACCTCCTTCTGCCTGTTACATACATTTCAACAAAACCATTATACTCTGATTTCCCATTGAAAATGGGTTCAGGGTATAAAAATTAGGCTTCTAGCTTTATTTTTAGACTTTATGCCGCCAAAATGGACTAATCGCCCATAGTGCAATGTCTCTCAACTGACTAGCCATATTAATTAAAAAAAAGTGAACAAGGCAATGAGTTCGTGATAGGCGAAAAATGTCTTGAGTGAGCTTAAATTGGAGAAGTCATAGCTTATGGCCTTCAATAGAGCGAGAATCAATGAAGGAAATGAAAAATTCGAGTTTAACAATGCATTTTCTACTACTGTACTAGCAGCGCACTCTTTCATTCAGTCCGTTTTCGATTTAGCTTCTATGTCACTCAACATACATAACAAACTTTTATAATAAACTATTTATACCGTAATCCCATTGAAAATGGGAATTCAGGGTATAATGGTTTTGTGAAAAATATGTAATGGGCATACTTACTATTACTAAAGTATATATATTCTTGATCAGGGCGACGAGCTGAGTCGATTTGGCACTGTCCGTCTGTTCGTATGTTTCAACGTGTAAATTTCAGAAGATATACGAGCTAGAGACTTTGATTTTTGTTTTCAAATGTCCGTATGTATAGCGCGGATATCGAGTTTATCTCAAAAAATCGATAACTGTTCCCATTCTTTTTTAAGCCATTTAATTATATCTAATATCTTTAAAGCTGGAGTCGCCATATTTCATATGTAAATTCATGTATATTTTTTAGAATTACGATTTTTGATATAATTCATCCCCCACCGTCACCCACACCTTTGTAAAAGGCGTATTTCAAATAATAGAGTCCATTGATAAGAAAAGTTATTAAACAATTAAATTTCCCACACTGCAGGCAATGCGTGTTTATGCATGCGTGTGTATGCCTGTGTGTGGGCATGTGTGAATAATTATTGAAATATCAGTTGCTCGAAGGGTTCAGGGCATCTCGTAGTCGAGTAGTCTCGCCTAGAGCTTTCTTACTTGTTTATAATTGCATTCAAAAAGGTACAAGTTGGAATAAAATTCTTTTATTTTATATAAATTTATTAAAAAGGATAGTATATTATTTTTTCCACTTACCATACATATATCGCACAACGAAATCAACTCGATTATCCCAAGAATAAGCCATTTTATCACTGTTTATTTTATAATCATAAAATATCTATAAGGAAAGCTATTAAATGTTATTCCTTTATTAACAATAAATCTTAATTTTCTTGAACTGTTTTAAACAAAATTCTGAAGTACCTTAAGATTCGCTTAATTCAAGCTAACTAAAGTTGTTATTGATGGGAGGATTTCCTTTGCAACATTAGATTTATTTTATAAGTGCATCTAAACATTATCTATAAATAATGTTGTTCATATTATAATATATGTGTAGGTATATATATATATATATATATATATATATATATATATATATATATATATATATATAAATAAAATCAGGTATTTTCTCTAGATATATTTTTAGTGCACGCATAACCTATTGTAAAGAAATTTTTAGAAAAATGTTCATTTAAATTCTTGTCATTTGTATAGCAGGCAATGAAATGCCATCTTTCACCTTTAAGTACGAACATCAAATGATGTTTTTAGGGTATGTTCAATAGTAAAGTACCCTATCAAAGACAGACGATACATTAATTTGAAAACTGAATCAGGCATTTACAATTATGAATAAATAAAAGTAAGAACGTTGCAGTCGGGCGATACCGATTGCAGAATACTCATTCACAGCCCAAACGCTGTCAACCAGAGTATATGGTGCAATTTTCAGGTGTAGTGCGCAGCAAAAAGCAGGGAATGATCCCATTAAAATTGGAAAGTCATCGATAGCTCTTGCTATCATCGTTGAATTATTGCAGCTAGGATCTTTAGATTACATATATAATTTATATATGCTTTTTATTATATATTTATATCCATATATTGGATACCGGCTTCAAGCTAGCAGCAGATCCGCGCGATTTTCCTATACATGTGCACACACTCATCGTCTATTCTATGTGTACAGACAAAAGCACGTCTTTTAGCGTATTCTAAGAATTTCGACCGATTTCTGGATTTTCTAGCCCATACTGTAGTTTTTCAGATGACTCTCTGTTATTAAGTTATTCTATTTTAGCTACTAGCTTATCAAACAATGCAGTGGCGCGGGTGCTAAAGCCGACGCGAGTTATGTTAGAGTAGCGGGAGGTTGGAACCTCTTCCATGTTTGTTTTTTTTTATACCCTGAACCCATTTTCAATGGGAAATCAGGGTATAATGGTTTTGTTGAAATGTATGTAACAGGCAGAAGGAGGCGTGGCAGACCCCACAAAGTATATATATTCTTGATCAGGGCGACGAGCTGAGTTGATTTGGCCCTGTCCGTCTGTCTGTCCGTCTGTCCGTCTGTCCGTCCGTCCGTCTGTCCGTCTGTCCGTATGTATGAACGCGTCGATTTCAGAAGATATAAGAGCTAGAGACTTCAAATTTTTTTTAAATGTTCGTAATTACAGCGCGCATATCAAGTTTATCATTAAAAATCGATAACTCATCCCGATCTTTTTTTATCGATAAAAAACCTTATCGAAAACCAGTTATAAAATTATATCTTCTACACCTTTATTGCTAGAGTCTCAAAATTTTTTAGGTATGCCTATATGCAATTTATACAATTTCGGTTTTTGTTAAAATTTACCCCCCACCCTTAAATTCACCCCCTCACCCTCACTTTTGTAAAAAGCTTATTTCAAATACTAGAGACTTGTGCTTTGGCAATTACATGCATATCCATGTCATAATCATAATCTGAAAGTTTCATGAAGATCGTACGTCCACAAAAAAGTTATTAAGCAATTAAGTTCTCATAGTAAGCGCTCACTGCCGCCCATGCGTGTTTATGCTTGTGTGTGTATATGTATGTTATTGTTTGTGTATGTGTGTGTGTGTGTGTATGTGTGTATGTATGTGTGTGTATGTATGCCTGTGTGTGCGTGCGTGTGTGCGTGTGTGTGTGTGTGTGTGCGTGTTTCTTGTGTAAGCTGAAAGACGCGAAAAATTATTGAAATAGCTATTACTCCAAGGGTTCAGGGGATCTCGTAGTCGAGTGGTCTCGACTAGAGCTTTCTTACTTGTTTTCATATATATTGCGTTTGCGAGGTGCGAGCTTGAATGTATGGCCCTTAATAATTTTCTTTTCTTAGTCGAATAATTTTATATGTTTAAATTGGTTCTTCATAAATAGCCCTCAAATACATATACGCATATGCATATATATATATATATATATATGCATAAGTTAAGCGCTCCCACACTAGAGCACTAGTGATTGGGGACGCTGTGTTGGGTTCTTGTGAATATATTACAACTTTGTGTTCAATGAAATAATATATTTTATATTATTTGGAACAATAGGTCTAAACTCTCTCTAGTCCGAATATAAACTGCACTAAATCTGTTCTACTGGTTCGGTTCTCCCCTTGAATGTCTGACTGGACTCTTCAGCCTCCTTAGATAGAGAGTCTTAACTCTTCCCCATCTAAATATCTGCGCCCCGCAGATCAGGGTGCATATGTCCATTATAATGATATTCATCCAATATAAATTGTCCAATATAATGGTATTTTTCCAAAATAAATTGCCCAATATAATGATATTTATCCAATATAAATTTATTATCCATAGTCGATAGTTCCAGAGTCCATAAATTAGCATAAAGAGGGCCATCGATATCCACCTTCAAGTTAATTCAAAGCATTCATAGTTCCATACATTTAGTATTCATTTGTGGTTATGACAATACATCCAACATTGTAAGCGCATTTATTTTATTCTCTCTGGCATCTCAGAAATCCCTATTACCATGATTGATCGAAACTAGGAAGGATATACCACGTGTAAAATGCTGTGGATGCTATGGGTGCTAAGGAAGTTAAGGAAGTTAAAAGAGGATTATTACAATATAATTAAATATGCATTTTCCCTTTTTTTTTCTTTGTATTTTCTTAAGTGTGATTTATGAAGAATTTTTCCAGTTTTTGTTTTCATTGTCACATTGCGGTTTTCCTTTACTTCGTCTTTTGCAAATCTTTGTTTTCCTTAGTTTTAATTTGATTGTTTCTTTTATATTATTTCATTGAATTAATAATTGTATTGAATTACGTTTGTTATGTGTATTACCACGTGTGTTGTTGCGTTGTCTGTTATAGAATTACTTGAATTACCAATTACTAGTTGTATTATATTTTGTTACCGAACCGGCAAACAGATTTTATTATTTTATATAGCTTGGGAAGCCCTCAAGATCCTTTTTGGTGTAAGACCTACTTAGGTGAGGGTGGTTCCACAATCATCTGGTCTCTCTCTTACTTTCGTTTCATTTATTTATTTATTTTACTTTTTTCTTTTATATATTGTCTTTGGTTCTAAGACCTACTAGGGTAAGGGTTATTCCACGATCGAATAGAAGGTCTCCTGCAATTCATGTTTTTATTTTTGCATAGTTATGCTTTGCTTATTGATTAGAGATTTCCAGACAAACGCCTTTTAATTTTGTTATATAGTTAGTGCTTTAAACTTAACTTTGACCACTAGGTTTCTTTTAATTTATACGGTGTAATAACCCGGTACTTTCAATGAAACACTTGCTTTTCAAAATAATAAGATATATATATTTCCCCTCCAGTGCGGACGCATCGCTTGTCACAACAGTACTACTAACTAAATGGAATAGGGAGAGAGGTAATAAGAAAATATAAAGAGAGAGAGTTAACGGGCTCTGCTTTGTAGGCGTCGCTGCTTAGCATCTCGGCGCTGGTTCCCACATCCCTCCTTTCCTCACGAGTTTAAGCTTTAATCCCTCGGTGGAGTTTCCGTAATCCTCTTCTGGTGCTTGCTCCTCGAGTTGTGCGGCTGGCTGTGGAGTTTGGTTTGTGGCCGGTATGGGAACCTGTTTCGCATTGGTGGCATCGGGCGATTTCGTTTCACCCTTTTAAGGTGATTTGCATTTCTTAAGAGCGTTTTCCCTCCCCCACACACTTGTACCATATCCCCTTCTTTTTTTAAGACTTCGTATTCAGTAGTGTCAAACGTTGGTGTTAATTTGTGGGGAAAAACTACATTCTTGAGAACCACCTTATCTCCTACATTTATATTTACTTCCTTTGCTCCTCTCCTTTTGTCTGCAACTTCCATTCCCTTTTGTTTATTACAAAAATCTTCATCCCTCTCCGCTGAGTCTGCGAACTTCCCCACTAAATCTTGTATTCCTGGAATTTTATTCCTAATTACTCGATTGAACATCAGTTCCGTAGGGGCGGTACCTGTGGTTCCATGAGGAGTTACATTGTACATCAGTGTGAAAGCTTGAATTTCCTCCATAAGATTCCTCTTGTTTTGATGAGCTATTTTCAACTGCTTGACTAAAGCCTTGTTTATGTTCTCGACCTCACCGTTGGCTTGTGGCCAATAAGGAGGTGTTGTTATTTGCTCTATGCCGCACGATTTACAATAGTTCTTAAACTCAAGGCTTACATATTGTCGGGTAACCCAGTCACTAAAAATTTCCTAACACGCCCCAATTAGTGATTCAGATGTGATGGAGCGAAGGAATTTAAACTCCATGTATCTGGAGTAATAGTCTATTAAGACTAGAATATACTCATTGTTGGGTAGCGGTCCTAAGAGATCTGTAGCGACCGAAATCCATGGTCCATTCGGAAATTCAGTCCTCTTCATTGGTGGTGGATTTGTCGCTTGGGATACCAAAATACAATCAAAACAATTCTTTACAAATTTTTCGGTATCTCTGTCAATTTGGGGCCACTTTGGACCTCAATCTTCGCTTCATGGCCGATTCGCCCGGATGTCCTTCATGGGCCAGCACCAACACTTTCTGTCTCAATGCTGATGGAATAACGATTCGAACTCCTCTAAGCATGATTGTTCCAATTGTTGACAGTTCATGTCAAAACGGGTAAAATTTATTCGACATTGCCGAGTCCCAAGAGCCCTGTTGAAGGCACGCCATTGCGTCTACCTTGATGTCGTAGCAACTGGATGGCGTTTGCTCACACAAGCGGGACAGACTATCAGCTATGTTTTCCTTTCCCGATTTGTAAATAACTTTAAATTTATACGCTTGAAGACGCAGTAGCCATCTTTCGATACGCGCTGGAGGCCTTGATGTTGGCTTACATATGGTTTCTAGTGGCTTATGGTCTGTCACTAATTCGAACTCTAGTCCTATCAAATAGAAATAGTATTTTTCTACTGCCCAGACCAAAGCTAAACTCTCTTTTCCCGTCTGGGAGTAACGCTTTTCTACATCAGTTAAGCTCCTACTAGCAAATGCGATTATATTTG